GATTCCAGATTTTCAAATAGTTGTATCTCAGCCAAATATTGTCCTATCATAACAAACCATACATCAATGGAAAGATTATTTATTCAGCTTTCAGATGATGTATAAATCTCAATTTTGCAAAATTGACCCTTATGACTGGTTTTGTGCTCCAGGGTCACATATATGAAGCATATTGTTTCTAATCACGAGGTTTTGGCCTCACCTGCAGGATGATCAGGTAGGATGCAGCTGTGTCCAGATCCTGTGCCATCAGACACTCCTCGAACAGGTCTTTGGGGTTCCCCACGGCGGCAAACAGGTAGTTCCACAGCGCGTATTCGGTCTTGCGCGCGCAGTGCACGATGGTCTGCAGGAAGAGCGGGAACTCGGTCACGAACTTTGCGACGGTGGGCAGCAGCGGGTCGGGGATGGGCTCTCGGGACGTGGCCTCCTCCTCCAGCACCACATGCACCATCAGCTCCAGAACGTGAGGGAAGTATGGCAGCATCGCACAAGACTGCGCCAGCATCAGCGCCTGCTCGCCCAGGTTACGCACCAGCAGCTGTCTCAGGATGTGATGGAGGTAGATCTGGGACGTCCGCTCCACCGTGCAGAAGGGGAAGAGCGCCTCCAGCGAGGACGAGCCGGGCCCGTCGAACAGCACGGTCTCGTTGGAGGCGCCCAGGATGAGCGCGTCCTCCTCGTTGGAGGCACCCAGGATGAGCGCGTCCTCGAACAGCACGGTGAGCGGGTAGATGTTGATGTGGAAGGGCAGCATGATCCGGCGCGACAGGAACGAGTGCGGCTTGCGGTGGTCTCGCGGGAACAGAGGAAGCCACACCTTCATCCCCGCCTCGCCGCATGAGAGCCACAGAGCCTCCATCAGGTGGCGTTTCTTGCGGTTGCTGCGGCAGGTGGTCCAGACGTTCTCCACGCACTGAGCCAGAACCACCGGCGGACAGAACGGAAGCTGCCGGAAAGAGTGCAAATCATAGACTGACATTCATAGAGTGCAACAGTGATGCTACAGAGCTGCTATGCGGTTGCTAGGGGGCTTAAGTGGTTGCTATACATTACGACACTTAAAAACATTAAAGGGGTCATATGATGCGATTTCAATTTTTCCTTTCTCTTTGGAGTGTTACAAGCTCTTGGTGCATAAAGAAGCATCACAATGTGGTAAGGGGCGTAACATTTCCGTCAGATGCTTGAGGTATTCGGCCAATCACAACGCAGTGGATAGCTGGCCAATCACAGCACACCTCGCTTTTCAGACAGATGAGCTTTGTAAAAATCGACGCGTTTCAAAAAGGCGGGGCATAGAGGAGAAACAATAATGTACAGTATGTGGAAAATAATGTGTTTTTTGAACCTTAAACCGCATAAACACATTTCATTACACCAAATACACAAAATAATTTTTAGCAACATCATATGACCCCTTTAACAACAAAAAAAGTGTCAAATTTGTGAAACTGTGTAACGATCTGTTGAACATTACGTAATTTGAGTTACTACCTCTGTACCTTTTGTTTTACGTTTTTGTTTTTTTGTTTTTAATATATATCCTTTGATGTCTTCCTGTATTATTTCATTTATACATAATGTCATCCAATGTTGTATTTAATTGCTGTAGTTATTCTTGTTTATATCTGCAATAAAAAAATAATAATAATAAAAAAAGTGGTTGCACTGCAAAAAATTATTTTCTTACTTAGTAGTTTTGTCTTGTTTTCTAGTATAAATGTCTAAAAATTCTTCAGTCAAGATGCATTTATTTGACAAGTAAAATTATTTAAGATATTATGTCTTGTTTTCTGAAAAATATTTGTTAGGTTTTGCTTAAAACAAGCAAAAATTTCTGCCAATGGGGTAAGAAAAATAATCTTGTTTAGCCTTTGAATTAAGATTATTTTTCTTAGCAGATATGTTTGCTTGTTTTAAGCAAAAACTAACAAAATTTAGATTTTTTTTTCAGAAACCAAGACATAATATCTTAAATCATTTTAATTGTCAAATAAATGCATCTTGATTTGAAGAATTTTTAGATGTTTAAGAAACTAGAAAACAAGACAAAAATACTAAGTAATAATTTTTTGCAGTGTAGGGTGTTCTGGATAGTTGTGATGTAAAAGGTTATTGGTTAAAACTCCATAAGTCACAAACCAAACCAATCAGCTTTGAGGTGAATCACAACATTATAAACCTTGATTTGAAGGAAAAAGCTAGTTCACCCCAAAATTAAAATTCTGTCATCATTTACACTCCCTCAAGTCGTTCCAAACCTGTATGAGTTTCTTTCTTCTGTATGGAAAAAAAATTACTATGGAAGTCAATGGCTACCGGCAACTGTTTTTGGGTGAACTATCCCTCTTAAAGAAAGAAATATAGTCCCATGAAACATTGCGAATGACAATCTAATTAAAAAATGATGGATAAATATAAAACCAAATAAAATAATAAATAAAATAGTTTAAAAAGTAATGATAAATAAAAATAAAAATAAAAAATAAATATAAAACTATTGATTTGTTGATTATGCATTTCAAAACAATAGTTTGACATTTATGTATTTAAAAATATACATATAAAAATGTATATAAATGTTAATATTGAAATTATATAAATATAATTTGTATATATAAATATGGTTTAAAGTATATTTAAATTATATAGATCATATACATTTATCCCCTGCTTTAACTTAAATAAAAGATTTTAGAGTGCAGACCAATCTTTGTAAAAATTTGTATAAATTATAAACTATACAAAAAATAAATAATAAAGTAAATATTTAAAGAGAGTTTTAAAGAACAGGAAGTGGGGATTTCTCTGCAGAATCATGAGTAATGTAGTTTTTCACCAGGAATTCTGCTGTTAAATGTGATTATTTTAAAAGAAGTTGAAATAATGCGGGTTGTTGGATGATTAACAACCTTATAGCTCACAGTAGCTCTGTCTTTAATGGTTTGAGTGTTATTGCTAAAAATCAGTCCCTCTATGGAGAAAATGAATGGGATTTTTACTTCCGTAACCCAAGTGTTGCACTCTATGGGATCGGGGTAAGGGGCGGGGCATCAAACTCACCAGCTTCGTCTGATTGGCCGGCGTGTCTTTCTCTCGTACCTGTGGGCCGGATCGGTCTCTCTGCAGCATGATCAGCTGACCGGCCAAATTCAACAGGATACTCTCCGCTGAACAGGCCTGGCGCACACACACACACAGACGCCTCATGAGTATATATACGTGTGTGTGTGTGTACTCTGTGTGTGTATGCGTGTACCTGCTGCGGGGCTTTGAGCGTGATGCCGGTCTCTGTCCGGACTGACGTGAGGGTCACAGACACCACCAGACCGGGGTGAGGAATATACCGGGACATGGAGACCTCCTGCAGCAGCTCCACACTGACCGACGGGTTCGGACTGATGACAGAGAACAATCAAGAAATGTTAATAATAAATACAAGATACATCCATCCATCTTCCAAACCGCTCGTCCTATATGAGGAACATGAAGCCGTCTGAGTCATATACAGTGGTGGCCAAAATTGTTAGAACACTTGGCATATTTAAGAGGTTTCCGTTGTTTTTGTTGAATTGGCCATTACAATACCCATAAAACAAACTATTGCCGGAACTACCTGCGACAGAAGCAATCTGCTGAACACTGAAAATAATGGACTGGCCCCTCAAAGTCCAGACCTCAACCCCATCGAGCTAATTTGGGGCGAGTTGGAAAATAAACTGGGCAGATCTATTGTACATTCAAAAGAGGGTTGAGTTGCAGAAGGCATGGGATAACATTAGTGTTGAAGTTCTCA